GAATAGATGTAAGTTAATAGATATAAAAATAAATTTGTATAATTTGTATAATTTATTCTTAGCAAAAATTATTTTATAATTATATAATTTTTTAATTTTTTAATAAAGGCAGACTTTAGAAATGATGGTAGACGACAATGTGAATATCGATCAATGGAGATTGAAACTAAATTAATGCCACAAACTCATGGATCAGCAAGATTACGTATAGGAAATACAGATATACTTGTTGGCATCAAAGTAGAACTTGATATACCTCATGCTGATAAACCAAATGAAGGAAAATTGGAATTTTTTGTTGATTGGTAAATAACATTTCTCTTATAATTGAATATCTTGGATATATTTAACATTTCTTATTAATTTTTAAATAATTATTTTATTATTTTTTTTAATTAAGACTTCAAATTTAATTATTTAATTTTGAATAACCATACATTTTTCTTAATTAAATAATTTTATAATTTAATATATTAATTAAAATAATAAGTATATTTATTTTGTTAATTATTTTACATTGATTATAATATTATAATATTTTAGTTCTGCTACTGCAACTCCAGCATTTGAAGGAAAAGGTGGTGATGATTTAGCAACTGAAATAAGTAATATTTTAACAGCTGCTTACCAAACACGCAATGCTTTTGATTTGAGAACATTATGTATTTTACCTCATAAAAAATGTTGGAAAATATATGTTGATGTCTTGGTAAATAAAATTAAGCTTAAATATTAACATTTTTTAACATTTAAATAATTTACAATAATAAGAATAATAATTTTAAAAATAAATTATATATGTAGATTCTTCAGTGTGGTGGTAATCTTTTTGATGCAGTAGGAATTGCAGTTAAAGCTGCATTAAGTAGTACAGAAATACCAAAAATTACAACTGCAACTCTTGATGGTGGAGAACCAGATATTGAATTATCAGATGATCCTTACGATTGTATTCAATTAGATACAAGTAATTATCCAATTATTGTAACACTATGTAAAGTACGTTTTTTATATTATTATATTATATTTTTATATTATGAATAATTTGAAAAATGTTCTATTTTATTTAAAAACTATCTCCATTTTAAATTATTTAAATTTTATTATAGATTGGTGATAATTATATTATAGATCCAACTTTAGAAGAAGAAGTATGTAGTGCAAGTAGCATAATCATGTCAGTATTACCAAATGGCAAAATCTCATCAGTAATTAAATTAGGTTATGGAAGTATTCAACCTAGCACTTTCAAAAAAATGTTACAAGTAATAATATTGTCCTATGTTAATTTAATTAAAATTATACAATAATAATAATAATAATAATAATAATAATAATAATAATATATATATATACGTATATATCAAT